GGGGTCGTATCCTCGGCCCTTGGCGTTGAAGGCCCAAAATTTGGGTTCCGTAAATAATTAGATAGATAGTGAGGAAACCCTGTCATGGAAGAACTGGGGAAATCACTGGGCGAGGCTGAGGCGTACTGGAAACAATTTCAGCCAACGCGATAATGTGGCTTAAAGCCACTTCGCGACCGCAAATGGCCCGGGAACGGAACTCGAATACGCCACAAAAAAAATTAGTTAATAAATATGCACAAAAACCATGTTTACAGTCATTCTGATAGAGGAGAAAGGCAGCAGAAAGCTGCCTGAATGTATATAGAGAAAGATACATAGTGACTATCTAGCTAGTATAGCTAGCCCGGTGCAGCACCTCGGCATGGGCCTAAGGGGTGTCCATGGGCCTAATTAGTCAGCTTCTAGCGGAGTTCTTGCCGTTTTTCACATTTTGAAAGTAGCGCAGCCTCAAAAATCGCCTTCCGGATCGCCTGACACATTTGAGAGGTCATAGCCTTATTTTATCGCGGAATATGCCTTTAACATTACTACGCTTTTCAGCAATATTTTCTTGAAAGCAATACTGACGCAAAGATGGGCTTGTAAAGGAAACTCCGGGGAACCACCCAAATGAGCGCTCATTACTTTCGAAACGATATTGCATATAAATGTAACGAATAGGCGATTCAGGGGGAGGAGGGCTCCCTACGAGATAATTCTATGGGTTCTGTACGTGTCAGTCACTTGGATATGTAGGACTTTAACCGTCACGGTCATAATCATATCAATTACAGGAAGAACTCCTTCGCGAGGATAACGCCCAATTACGAGTGCAAATTGATTTGGCGGAAAAATCACGGCTAATCGCCAAGAAAGACGCTGTCAGTACTCAAGGATACAGTAGCCGTCAATGGGGTGATGTAATTGATCTGTGTGCTGTTTAGGATTCGCTGGCGGCGATGCACCAGGCGCTTCTAACCGATCACGATCGTCTTCAGAACCTGCACGATCTTCTCACTCAGGACTACGAACGTGCTCGTCTCGAAAACGTCGAGATGAAATCGAAGCTGAAATCGCAACGGGTTAGTTTTTTTTTTGAAATGCGGTCTCCATGTTCATCTTTTCTTTGAGGAAATTACCGTTTTATTTGAAAGCCAGGAACGGCGCTAACCGGCTTGCAGGGGCGTTTTACACTTCCGCTAGCTGCTTTGTTAGGTCATGTTTGATAACAAGTCTCACCAGATTGACTCTTCGTAGCTTTGCAGTATTCTACGGGTCACATTCTGGTGAGACCTGTAGAGCTCTGTGAAGCTGCGAAATAGTGCGAGTGAATTACTTTGTTCGCAGGAGTTTACATGTCTTCACAAGGTGGTCTGTCCAAGCCTCACTAAGTTCGAGCCCCCACCAAGCCGACCTGCGCCACACTGAATCGATAAGTTATGTCGATTGAATTCTCTGCGCCTGGTGTTACCAGCCTCTTCCTTTCCTAACACGTTGACGACCTTGTTGGATTCGCATGTGAACACGCATTGAACGGTCGCGATTCGGATACCGAACCAGAAATCACATCCCTAACACATTGCGTGATTTGGGTTTGCTTTTTATTTTATTCTTTTGTATGTAGTTCAATAAGCCATTATACTCCTAAAATGCTGGTCCACAGAACGGTTTCACACAATTATTTGGACAAATTCTATAATTTTTTCATTGAGCTTCATCCAGTTCTCTGACTTTTTACTAACGAATCAGGCACAAGTGAGCAGCTCTGAAGCTTAGATGCATTCGTGTTCCTATGAAATTCGTCTTAAGAGGAAAATCTAGACGGAGCTTAGACGCTTTAGAAATGTTGATTGGAGCTTTTGAAGTTGTTTTATGTGATAACTGCTGTTTTACGCCGCAGTTCGCGTCTCGAAAGTTATCACAGTCACGATTTCTGGAGGTGTGGTCCGGCTCCCGCCTGGGTTCGACTTTGCCATAGAACCAGCATTCTTGTTAATTGGAAATTTTTTAAACAACAGCCCTCCTTCCTGCGCATGAACTGCGAATATCCCATTTTTTTAACGCCCAAAACTATCGTGACAGCCTTGACCGTTTGCACCCTGGCCCTAGCAAAAAGCGCTCCTCTGAACATTATTCAGTCTGCTATTTTGTCAGAAAACTAGTCAATGAGATGCTTCGCATTTTTTGCTCGTATGCTGCGAAAAAACCAATAAGATTAATGAGATTCGCCCCGCTGACATTTTTGCAGCCCAACTTCCGGTACAATTTATCTCCAGCTCACCTCTCATTACGACGGTTGAGGGAGAAAAGGTGTGTATTGAATCTGTCCCTCCCGGGGTGGTCCCTTGTGCGAGTAGAGTGTGTGACAGCCATCTGTCACCACCTGCACAGGACCTCGCCATTTGAATGGGATCCTGTCACTCAGCGGAATCCATCAATCGTTATTCAATGGGCCTACAATCGGCTCAAGACTCTACGCTTCCCCCTCCATTTAAACTTTCTCTTCAATGTTTTGCATTTGCGCAAGAACCAGTAATAAACTGAAGGTCCTCCTCAAAGATCGTCTTCGGCGCTAATTGCCATTCAGAAGGAAGATGGAAGTTCTCAGAGCAAAATATAGCAGTTCGGCGATGGGGGGGTGCATTTTGCACTTCCATAGCTTCACTAATTTCGGTTTACACCACCATGGTGAACTTGTGAACTGTGAAGCTGGTGCTAGCTCGCCCAGCCAGGATGAGAAAGCGTCGTTTTTTATAGAGAATTTTGCAACAGTCCGTACTGCTGCCCCCCCCTCTCCTTTGTTGCGTAACCTTAACGGCGCCACACTGCTATGGAAAGACGTTCTTTTTTGAAACCGCTCGGAAGATGTGTACGAGCGAACATTTCTTCATCGCCATGAAGTGCCTGCGACGGAAACTGCCAGCCTTACTTTTAGCGACATTAACAAAACAGCTGTTCGAACATGCACTTTTTCACAGTACCGAGAACAGCTGACCACATCTGTCACCTTTGGCAAGGAGCGAATCCGGGCAATTCATCAACTCGAAACATCAGGACCCGGAAGATGAAATGACGCCGTGTTCGACATTTGAAAAAAATCCGTGCCTCAGAAAGAAAAACTCGTGCATTTTCTGGAATTGAATCATGGTTGGATATGGCGCCGTTCCCGTGGGATTACTTAATGGTACTCAGCGAAGCCTGTACCGGTCACCTTCAAAGACCTGTAAATTCTTATAACCAGAATGGCTGACTTATACCACTTTTCGGTTCAACGAGAGTTTACACGTTTCATCGAATTGACACCTGGGTTAACGTGAACTAGTGAAAGGAACTAACAAAAGTGCAAAATGCCCCTCCTAAGTCGAACGAGCCTTGTGAAGTGTAAGTCGAACAACGCCCTTGGAAGTTCCTAACAAAACCATGCGTTGCTTCAAATCGACCACGTATCATGCGATGACGAAGAATATACGATCACTGCTGAATCTCGTTATGATAAGGCCGTGTCAATTAGCACTTTTCTACAGCCTGTGAAAGGCTTATTGTTCAAAATATATCAAATGATATAGAAAGAACGAACAAAAAATGCAGGAGGAAAGCCTGACAAATGTTCGCGGCGTTCTAGACGAAGATGCGCTTTATACATGGGTGCGCCTTGTCCCCTAGAAAGAAGGGTATTCGTTCCTGTCAAAGCAACATATTCAAGCAGTAAGGGTCTGACCTTGGCTGGCCAACCTTTGAGTTACAACCAGGCGAGTTTTCTGGGACTGTTACTCTGTATGGAACATAAAATCGTCGTATCAGCTTATTCAAGAATCGATCCCTCACCGCACTAAATGTGAGCTGTTACCATAGCCATGGTCTGGGCTCAACACGCGTTCAAGCGCCTAAACTATTTTCACCGTTAACGGATGCGTTAATGGTTTGATCGTCGCCGAAACAGGGCACATCATGGTTGTGTAAACTCAATGGGGTGTCTTTGTTCGCCGGTAAGGGAGGGAGTCATTCGTGCTCCAAAAAGACTTTCTCGGTCGTTTATCCATCCGTTTCGTCCTTACTCCCGTCTAGTCAGCGGCACTCCACAGATAGGAGATGTAAAACGGTGTGTTTTTGTGGAGAGGGTGCTACGTATGGCGGAAATATACTATTTTGCAAAAGTTTACCCATCGCGATGCCTTACTCTGCGTCGAAAGCTCATTTTTGTCTTTTCATTCACTTTATTTGCAGTATTTTAGCCATACAGACTAGTTTGCACATTCAAATGATATTCCTTCGAAGTTCTGGACTCTACAGTTGTAAATCCCTAAGAGTTTCCGCAGTATTCACCCTCCTCACAAACTCTTCGTAAGGGTACTCCGCGATAATCTTGAAAGTCTTGTGGCAAGTACCTAGTCTACAGTGGCAATGGCTGCATCAGCTTGTGGCTCAAAAGTGAATACGTCGCCCACGCTGTAGTTCCTTTCGTTGGCACTACCCACCATCATTTTACCCACATACCCGCTCTATGTGTAGGGCGAACCACCATTTCCGAAGGCCACAGACAACGTTGCGGAGGCCATACCGACCACACCACCATTGTCCGGTGATCTCGTCCAACCACGCCCCCACTTCACTGTCAAGTCGTACCAGCTTGCTTTGAGAGGAGCCTTATCTCGAGCATCTGTGTTGGTCTCCTCTCTTTTCCTATACTAATAAGTTCCTTGGCACCTTGGTATCCTCATTTCAGCCTAATTACCCGCGCCGTTCTAGTCGCGGGCTCTGCTTTTGAGGAACCTTTTATCCTTCGCAATTACTTCTTTAATTATGTGATTAATTGTTTCTTTGCTTTGCGATTTGATCATTTATCATGTCCTCAGTATTGGTGATGATTGATGAGGACGGTTAGCGGGTCAACAAAGATCTTGTCTCTTGAAGGGAAATTTATGTACTTCATAGGGTCACAAGGTGTCTCACACTGCCATATCTTCAATATCTCCCTTTTCTAGCCGATCGCCATTAGCCATTCACGTGAGTTGGACGACATGCGAACGGCTCTTGAGCATGAGCGAACTGAGCGCGATCGTCAACTGAGAGCCTATGCCGATCTCCATAACGAACAAGGGGCTCTGAAGAGAGAACTGGATCAGATCAGGTTAGTTATAACATACAAAACAGTGTTCATACATCAGCCGTATTATTGGTACTCCAGGAAGGAAAACGACTGTTTGTCGAGGAACTGTGATGGTCTCGGCTCGGAAGTGAGGAAGTTGAAACTCGCCGAGCAAGCTCAACGAGCTACCGTCGAAGACCTGATGACAACGGTCGAGGA